AAAAAAAAAAAAAAATCACTTTTTTATTTATTATACCGGGTCCTCCCCCCGCCATTCTCTCCCTTTTTAAATAAATACTTTCACTGGAAACACTTTCAAGGGGCCAGGGAAATCTCTGAAAACCTCAAATTGAAACCCCTGTTTTTTCTGATTTTTTTTTCCCAGAAAAGTTGAAAGGACTTTTCACCCCCAGTTGGAATGAAATTGTTCACTTCATTCACTCTAACTGCATCAGCTAGAGCTCGTTTGAAAACGGGGATATTCTGCAAATAGAGACATTTAATCAATGTAGGGCCCGCCCCCCCGCCATAGCAGCAGCGTGAGCATGACTGGCTGTTTCTATTACAGGTTTGCTGTCTGGGTTGGAACCACGGGCACGTCGCTGGGCAGTTCCCAGTGTGGTTCTCAATCTCATCCTGAGCATCACCATCATCATCACCATCATCATCTTCACCATCGCACTGTCAGGTGAGTGTGGAGCCGCACTGACCCCGTCTCTGCACCTTACACTCCGTGCTGGAAACATCACAATCCCACAATCCCCCCAACTTCTCCTCTCTTCCTTCCCCCCCCCCCCCACAACCGGCCCACACCTGCTTCAACTGTCACATCAGACTCTGCTGAGCCCGTGGTTTTTCTGTGGGGTCTTCCCCCTCTGCCAGTGTCCCATTGGCTGATGGGTAACTCTGCCCTGTCACCCAAACACACCTGGTTACTAAGGACTGTGAGTCACTGTGTTACACCCCCCCCCCCCCCCGTCTCCAGTGGGAGGGAGCCATATCTGTGCCTGGCTGGTTGGCAGCTCCCTAAACCCACCAGCCTTTCAGCCTCACACGTCCTCTCCTCCCGGCTAGGCCAGCCCTGGCTTTGTCTGGCAGGTTAACAATACCTGCACCACAGTCCCTGCATCCCTTTGCAGTGCTCCCCTGTGACATCCAGCCCTGACACTGGCTCCTCACAGAAATCCCAGATCCTCTGTCCCCAGAGATGCATGTGTCCCTGGTTAATAGTTTTACTTTATATTGCTGTATCACGCACAGCACTTCTGAGCACTGGGTCTACACTCACCTTTCCTGTCTAATAAAGCCACCCCCCCCAAAGTCCAGTCTCTCACAGAGCTGGCCGGCTTCACAGGAATGAGGGTCCAAGCCTTCCTGAAAGCCACCCTGCTCCTCCTCAGTGAATGGATCCAGTGAGTCCAGTACAGTGAGAAGTTATTTAAAAACTCTGCTCATTATACAAAATGTTATTCTGACCCCAAAGGGCCAGCCTATTATCAGGTCAGTACTAGGTTGGATCTTACCCAAAATACCACGCTGCCAGCCTATCCTTTAGCACCTAAATCTAAAGGTTCATTATAAAAGAAAGAACAAGAAGAGAGTTGTTAAATGGTCAAGCAGTCAGATACATACAGAGACTTCAAAGTCCATATATCAGATACTTAGCTGCATTGGTGTTTGCTGGCTTGAAAGTCCCCCTGGAACATCCACAGCTTGGATGGGTCATTCAGTCCTTTGCTCAGAGCTTCACTTTGCAGAAAAGTTCCTCCAGAGGTAAAAAGCAGGATTGAAGACAAAATGGAGAAGGTGCAGCTGCCCTTTGTGTTCTTTTGCTATATGGCTGGGACTTCCTGTGTCCCAAACACAAACTTCACAGCACATGATACGGAAAAGCTTTCGAGTTCTCTGTCCACCGGCCTCCCCTACATGTCTTGCTGACTCGTAAGGTGTGGCCCCTGTCTCCTTTCCATGGGTTCATTGCACAGCTGATGACCCTGGATGGGCCACTGAGCAGGCTGGGCAGTGCTGATGTCAATCTGTCTAGGGGTGTCACCCAGAAACCAAGCACAAGTCTGGAACTACAGACATACCCTACACATGTATAACTCAACACAAAAGTGATACAAACATATAAACAAGGTTATCGTACTTGGCAAATCATAATATTTTCTCAGCTACTTCATATGGCCTATCTGGCCAGCTCGTTTGCAATTTGATAATAATGGTAGCAATAATATCACTAAGTGTTCCACATATTCCACACAGCGTCACAGTCTGTACCTGCAGGGGCCAAAATGGGGACCCCAGCAAAGGAGACCAGGGTTGGAAACGAGACCCCAAATTCACAGCTCATGTCGCTGTGAGGAGCTGGTGGGTGGGCGTTGGACTCTCTCTGTTGTAAAGGGGAACAGGGCTGGCTTTAGGCCGATTCCCGTGAATCGGGCCCCGCGCCTCAGAGGGCCCCACAGTGTCCGGAAGAGGGGCAGTCATGGGGTGTGGGGGGGACACAAGGCCCTGCACCCCCGGCTTCCTGCAATTCACCGTGACTCTCAGCCAGCCAGTAAAGCAGAAGGTTTATTTAGACGACAGGAATACAGTCCGAGACAGGTCTTGCAGGCACAGACAACAGGACCCCCCCCAATTAGGTGCATCTTGGGGTCCCAGGGCACCACATCCCCCTTGGGAGGTCAGAGCCCCGTCTGTCTCCCAGCCATTCTACCAGCCAGCTCTCAAACCTCCCTCCCTGGGCAAAGGTGTCACCTGGCCTCTAACCCCTTCCTGGGTCTCAGGTTACATGCTCAGATACCCTCCCTCGGCCAGTCTCCCATCCCCCAATGCAGACCGTCTTAGCCAAACTCCCCTGTCAGCATTCACAGGCCACAGTAAGAAGAGTCCCAGTTCGGCACAGGGGCCCCCAAGGAAGGAAGGACCCTCCGCCGAAGCCGCCGGAAACAGCAGCAACCGCTGCTGAATTGCCGTCGCTCTCTTCGGTGGCAGCACAATCACTGCCACTGTCTTCGGCGGCATTTCGGCGGCAGCTCTTTCGAACCGGGCCCCGCACGTCCTAAAGCCGGCCCATGGTGTGGAGGGGGTGCGGTGTTCCATGGTGTGGTGTCACTGGGGCTTGTTGCCGTGGCTACAGAGGGAGACGGGCAGATCTCTCACCCTGTTACTTTCTCATCTCCAGCAAAGAAATCTGAGCCGTGTTCAGCTTGTGCAGCCTGCCCAGACAGTTGGATCAAATACCTGGGGAAGTGTTACTATTTCTCACAGGCCGAAGGGAACTGGACCAACAGCCAGAGCAACTGCTCTGCCCTCGGTGCCTCCCTGGCCGTGATTGACACCCAGCAGGAAATGGTGAGATGCAGATTCTGGGCTGCACAGAGTGGGGGTAGAAAAGGTGGCTTTATGCTGGGCTTGTCCTGGGGCTGGCAGGGCCCCAGATGCTGCTTGAATTTAGGGCAACTTCTCACATCCCAGAATAACCACAGTACATATTGCGCCACCCACTCTCCATCCTCCCTGGTCACTGGGGATTGAGTCAGAGCAGTGTGGAGCTAATACGCCGACCCTCCTCTCCAGGGGAATTCCCAGCAGGGGAATCCAGTTACTTTCCAGTCCCTTTAATGGGACAGGAGCAGCATTGCCAACCCAAGTGTTCAAAAATCATGGATTGGGACCCCCAAAACCATGAGATTGACTTTCAAATAACAGCTTTCAAGGCTTTTAATTTGTTTTCTGGTGTCGTAGCTTTTAGGGGTTACATTTACAAGTTTTTCTCTGCAACCGTAAGGGCTAGAAACTTATGAAAGACGAGAGTCTCTTGTAATCACCTGACTCCAGGAGCTGGGGTGTTAAAAAAAGCACCAAACAGCATGAGACTCTCAGTAAAATCACAGGATTTGGTAAGAATGCAGGAGTGGTAAAGGTCTGGAATGCGGCTGAGAAGCTGAGCCAGGTAGCTCCTAAATCAGAATTGAGATGGGAAATTCTGATATTTTCACATTTGTGTCTGTCATGAATCAGGACAAGAAGTTGAAATATACAAACTTTTTACTTTCCATTCAGTTCCAGAAATGTGTGAAAATATCTAATTTCCAAATTTGATCAAACCAATTTCTTTCATCATTCACATAGCAAAGCAGTTTGGTTTGTCAAACTAAATCAGAACATTTTGTTTCAGCATGGTTCAACATTGAACAGCACCTGTGGCTCCTCATGGGAGTTGTAGTTTGGGTGCCTTCTGCCCCCTTCTGTGTGCTGAGATCCCGGGTTGGACTGCATCTCCCATGATGCCCAGCAATGGCTCAGCCAATACGGAAACCATGGTGCATTATAGGAGATGTAGTCTGGGGGAACCCAACCCAGAACGGAGGTGTGAGGCCCAAACTATAACCCCCATGAGGCACCTTGGTAACTCAGCTGCCTACAGATTAATGTCGAACTGACCCAAAACAAAATCATTGCCCAATGGAAAATAGAAACTTTTCCATTAAATCAAAATTAAACTTCAGAAAAATTCATCTTTGTAGGAAACACATTTTCTGTCACAGAAATATTTTTATGAAAAATCTTCAGCCAGCTCTATGAAACACACTAGACTAGTCTTAGCATCATGTCCCTGCATGGGCTGACCAACCCATAGCTCATGGAGCAGACGGGTGCTGCCTCTGCAGTTGGGAATTCCCAGCCTGGACCACCTGCCCAGCGCCCTGTGTAGTAGCCCAGAGAACCCAGTGTTGGTTGTAGAGATCCCAGAAATGGAGATGTGTAACGTGTATTTGCTGTTACTTTTCCAACAAAGGTTTTCCTGATGCGCTATAAAGGAGACTATGACCACTGGATCGGCCTCTGGAGGGAACCGGACCAGCCCTGGATGTGGACCAATGGCACTGAATTCAACAACTGGTGTGTCCCTTTTAGTTCTATTAACTCAGGAAATGTTGCAGGTCACATGTAAACAGGACACTGGCCTTGTGGTTAAGGCCTGGGGCTGACTTGGGAAATCGGGGTGCAGTGCCTGGCTCTCCCGTAGATTTGCCATGTGACCTGGGGTGAATCGTTCGGGGCTGGATTTTCACGGCTAGGTGAAGCTGCTCTAACACTTGTGTAGGGTTTTTATTACTATTTGTTGCGGTTGCAGGTTTCCAATAGCGGGAGGAGGCCTGTGTGCTTTTGCGAACCACGATGGTATTGCCAGTTCAGGCTGCTCCAGGGAGGAACACTGGATCTGCAACAAACCAGTGGAGAAACCAGAAGGCCGAGCAAAGCGACTGTAACCTGGATGAGTCGGGCCTTGTCCTTTCCATGGGGCTGTCGCAAGCTGCCTCAGCGAGTGGGGAACTGGATGGGACTGACAAAGGAGAACAGCCCCAGCAGCAAGGAAGAGAGACGCTCGCTGAAGGGCAGCATTTAGCTCCTCCTCTTGGAGCCTCTGGCCCCCATTGGCCCATCTGGGGACTGGGGTGAGGGTGCGGATTAGCCAGCAGCCCCCAGCTCACTCTGTGGCACAGAGAAGGGATCTTTTGACTTGGCTGCTCCCCTTCTGGTTTCCAAACCTGCTGTGTCCCTCCTGTCAGGGGCCCAGGGCAGGAGCCTGGCATGGGCTGTAGCTAGAGACCAATGTATGGTCTGGGCCATCGGGAGGTGCTGTGAACCCTGCAGCCTGGGGGAAGGACGCATGAACTCTGCTGTACAGCGAGAAGGGCTGTTGTGCAGGCCCTGCTGAGCGCTGTGGGAGCATGAAGAGATGCTGCGTACAGGAGGGGGTTGCTGGGACGTGCTAGGACAGACGTGTGTGTGTATATATGTGTACAGAATTATTTGTATAATAATACACCAGCTCCAACAAGGGAAACTTTTATTTTGTAAACTTAAGTCCTCATGTGACTGGCTCCTCCCAACTGAGCAGGGAAACAGAGGAAGCAGCTGCATCCTCCCACCAGGGCTATGAGTGCCCCGCCCCACAAGGACTAATGCGCTGAGGACAATGTGACTGTGTCTCTTTTCTTATCATCCTCCTCATCTTCCCCTCTGCCTGCCGGGGAGGGGCTCCCCCAGACTGAGGGAAAACTCTGCCCACCGGGGGGGTGATGCCCTCTAGGGGAAGGGCACTGCCCTCACTGGACATTTCTCTGAGCTCTGCCTATAAAGGGCCGGGCTCCGCACTGGTGTCTCTGCCCTGGGGAAGAACAGGTCTGTCACAAGCCCACTGGAGCAGGGGCAGCTCTAGGCACCAGCAAAGCAAGCAAGTGCTTGGAGCAGCCCATTTGCAGGGGTGGCAGCCGGCAGGGATCCAGCATGGGAGCTGAGAACCAACAGGGGGCCCTGGGAGCTGTAGTTGCTTGGCTAGCTCCCTGCCTATAAAGCCAGCCCTGGAGCAGGGAAAGAACTACATTTCCCAGCATTCCCTTGGCAGCCATCAACAGGAAAGGGAGGGGGAGGGAGTGAAGTAGCTGAGCCTTGCTGTGAATGGAGAGCTGGCTGCTAGAAGGGGTGGCCCTGTGAATGGGGAACAAGTATGCCCAAGAAGTAGAAGGCTTTGACCCAGATATCACCTTCAGAAGACATCCCCAGACTGGATTAGGGATACTGGATAATCACTTTCCCTAGGTTTGTTAATAAATAAAAGTGATTGTATTAAGTATAAAAAGTAGGATTTAAGTGGTTTCAAGTAATAACAGCCAGAACAAAATAAGTTACCAAGCAAAAGAAAACAAAACATTCAAGTCTAAGCCTAATACATTAAGAAATTGAATACAGGTAAAATCTCACCCTCAGAGATGTTCCAATAAGCTTCTTTCACAGACTAGACTCATTTCTATTCTGGGCCCAATCCTTTCCCCTGGTACAGTTCTTGTTCCAACTCAGGTGATAGCTCAGGGATTTCTCATGACTGGGACCCCCTTTGTTCTGTTCCACCCCCTTTTATGGCTTTGGCACAAGGCGGGAATCTTGTCTCTCTGAGTCCCCACCCCTCTTCCTAAATGGAAAAGCACCCGGTTTAAGATGGATTCCAGTACCAGGTGACATGGTCACATGTCCTGTGAGACCCCAGGCCTTCATTCTTCCTGGACTGGCTCACAGGAACACAGGGAGGTTTACAAGTAAACAGAGCCATTTACAACCGATTGCCCTGGTCAATGGGAGCCATCAAGATTCCAAGCCACCATTAATGGCCCACACTTTGCATAATTACAATAGAACATCAGCGCTAATTTCATATTTCTAGTTTTAGCTACAAGAAAGATACATACATACAAATAGGATGACCACACTCAGTAGATTATAACCTTTGTAATGATACCTTACAAGAAACCTTTTGCATAAAGCATATTCCAGTTACATCGTTATAAACATATTTCCATAAAACATATGGAGTGCAATGTCACAACACCATTTTAATGCGGTCGCCGGGGCTGGTGTTACACTTGTTGGGGCCCAGATCTGAAGCTGAAGACTGAGCCCCATGGCCAAAGCCTGAGGATTTGAACCCTGGGTGGCAGGGCTCAGGCTTCGGTCCCCTCTCCTGGGGCCTTGTAGTCCCTTTTGTTGTCAGAAGGGGGTTGCGGTGCAATGACGTTGGAGAACCCCTGGTGCAGACAAACCCAAAGAGATGAAGTGTCTTACACGGAGTCACCCAGCAGGCCCAGGGCATCCTGCCCGTCAGCCAAGGCCGGGGGCTAGAGAGGGTGCAGCAAACGCCAGGGTGGCCCTTCTGTAGCAGAGCCAGGAACAGACTCCAGCCTTCCATGTGCCAGTCCAGTGTGCTATCCACTAGGCCACGCTGCCTCCCTCCCCTGACATCGCTGTCAGCAGGGTGCATTCGTCCAGCCCCAGTGACCAAACCCAAAATGAGTCTGTGCTCGGCAGCCCTGTCTCTCCCGCAGACCGGCCCAGTTCTGTTCTCTGGCAGTCACAAGCCCAGCTGTCTCGGGGGGCGGCTCCTAAAGACACTGGGGTCTGTCTGGCTTGGCCAGTCAGCCCGCCCTCCAGCTTTCCCAGTCCATCTCCTCCTGGGCTGCCGGGCCTCTGAGTACCAGGGCATTCGTTAGCCCCCAGCACTCCCCGTGGTGCTCACTGCACTGCCACCAAGCACCCCAGCCCGGCTCCTCTGACAGAGACAGTGACACCAGAGATCACCCAGCAACACGCATGGAGAGGCTCGTTTGGGATTGGGGCACTGATCCCCTTAACGACGCTCTGAGGAGGTAACAAGTGGACAGCACGTCAGCAGGGTAAAGCTCTGATGCCGATTGGGGAAGCTGAGACCCCATCGTTAGTGACAGGAGTTAACGATCCATTAGGGCAGGATGGGCAGAGGTGTGTCAGATCACAGGCCGGACAGGAGCAGTGGCCGGGCTGGGGAAGAGAGCTCAGAGTGGGACCTGGCAGAGAGGTGCAAAGAAATGAATCAGGAGTGAAATACAGGTGAAAACCCAGATCCCCACCTGCTGTGAATCCACCCTAGCACCACTGGAGTCAATGGGGCCCGATCCCAGCTCGGGTCAGTCAGTGCTGCGCCATTGGAGTCCCTGGATGGAGGATGATTTACACCAGCTGAGAATCCAGGAGATTCCTCCCTCCCAGCTCCGGGGCGGAGAGGGTTAAACTGCCCCAGGGCTGTGCAGAGCATTGTACCTACAGCCCAACCCGGCCCCCGCAGCGCTTCCAACTCCTGCTGGGATATGTAACGCCAGAGCTGGGAAGTGTTCTATATGGAATTAACCCTTTAAACTCGTCTGCCTGAGGTTGGACTGGGAGCCAGGACTCCTGGGTTCTATTCCCAGCCCTGGGAGAGGGGGAAGGGTTGGGGGGGAGGGGGCCTGGGAGTCAGACCCCCTTGGCTGGGCCATCCTTAGGTTTTTTGGGGCCCTATGCAGTATTATTAAACTGGTGCCCCTACGCCCGATGGCAGCCTGGGCTCGCATGTGTATTTTAGATCCAAGCATTTAAGGCTAAAGATGAATACTCAGATTGTGCATCTAAAAATCTATGCAAGGATTTTTTAGAGAGGTGATTTTATAATCTTCACCGACTCACTAATGCAATATTTTTAAAGCAAATTTTAAACTAAGGTCCTGTAGACTGACATGTTCTGAGTAAATATGACAGTCATGCACAACTGTTTGTGTCAGGACATTCAGAAACTGACAGTAGATACCTGGGGGTTGGCAAACGCCTGTTACATGGCTTCATTACCCCTTGAATGGCTCTTTAACAGTGTCAGTGTTGTGCTAATAAGTCTGTGGGGCTGGAGGCTTTTTCACTTTTAAAGTTACTAGATCCCCTTCCCAGGAAGACCCACCAGACTGCAGCAGCCAGCTGTGGTGGGAGCCTGCAGGAAGGGTCAGAACAGGGATAGGACGAGGCGGTGGGGTGGACACTAAGGTCTTGGCTACGCTTGCAGCTGTACAGCGCTGTGCGGTAAACCTGTCTTCGTACAGCTGCATAGGGAAAGCGCTGCAGTCTGTCCACACTGACAGCTGCCAGCGCAGTGGTGTGGCCACACTTGCAACATTTGCAGCTGTGTTCGGAGCGGTGCATTATGGGCAGCTATCCCAGCATTCATGTGGCTGCAACGTGCTTTTCAAAATGGGGGGGGTGGAGTGTGAGAGGGAGTGTGGGGGGAGAGAGTGCTTTTTGGAGCATGTCAGCTCTCTATTTTACAAGTTCCAAACTCCCGGCCCCCTGCTCATTCGTTTACTCACTCAAAGCAAACAGCAAACTGTTTGCTTTTTCTCTGTGGTACGAGCTTCGAAACCGGCACTTCCGCATTCCTGCAGCCGGTCACAACAATGGAGAGGATTGGCCACTTGAGCGCTGCAAGCGTTTACACTCACACCCGTGAGTCGTAGCCACGCTGCTGCAGCTGTTATTCCTCTCGGAGATGTGGAGTGCCTGCAGCGGTGTACCCAGGGAGATACAGCGTTGCAAATGCCCTGCCAGTGTGGACGGGGAGTGAGTTACAGCGCTGGGGGAGGCTTTACAGCGCTGTAACTCGCAAGTGTAGCCAAGGCCAAAGACCCAGGGGTGCCCCAAATTTTCGGGTGCCCTACACAGCCACCTATGCCTAAGGATGGCCCTGCCCCTGGGTTACATTTCTACTTTGCCACAAACTTGCTGTAATCTTGGGTGGGTCAATGTCTGTGTCTCGGTTTCCCCATGTGTGACTGACATGGGGCTAACAGTGCCGCACGCTGAGGTCTCCCCCGTACCCTGTTCAAAGTGGGATGGCGTCTCTCTGGCAAATCAACCGAAGTACAGAGCCGCAGAGGTCAGAATGAATCCGATTCCCCTTCACTGCCCCACAGCTGTTCCCCTCAGCCGGGCCTGACACCGGGAACCTGCGGGACAAAGGAGAGGGCCCCTGTCAGCGCGTGTGGGTCCATCACATGCAGTCTGTAGCGGCTCTTCCCTGTTGTAACGGGATCCGCAGCCGTCGTCTCCTCCAGCCCTGCCCTGGGGGCTGCCCCCTCTCCCCACTGTCAGGGCCCTGGCCAGGGTCTCGAACGGCCTCTCCCTGCCCAGAGCCCAGGGACCTGCTCCAGCCTCATCCTCCCTGCTGGGCTAGACCCTGTCCAGCTCCCTCCCCTGCTCTGGGTCTCCTCCCCACTGGGCTGTGCAGACGCTGCCCCCTCCTGGTCCCCTCCTGCCTCTCTGGCTGCTCTGTGTCTCCCCCCCCCCCCGCCCCATTGTCTGGGGGATCCCCAGGGCTCTGGCCTGGCCCCTTTGCTCTTCTCACTCCACATCCTGTCTCTGGGCCACCTGCCCCGCCCCCAGGGCTCCAGCCACCATCTTTATGCTGGGGGATGCACAAATCTCTCCCTGCCCCATAGCCCTGTCTGCTCCCACCCAGCCCCCCTCTCAGCCAGGCCCCCCAGGTCCCTTCCTGGGGTCTCAGCATCGTCTGACACTGAACACGGCTCCCCCTGAGCTCCCGACCTTCCCCCCAAACATCCCCCATCCCTGGCCCTGGCCCCTTCTGCCCACGGAGGGGAGGGAAAGTGTTTGACTCAAGGAATCACTCACAGGCTCTGATCCAGCCGGGAGCCATCCAGCCAGGTCCAGGCCTTCTCCGGGGAGGGGACAGACAGTCCGATCCAGAACAGATGTGAACCTTGTGTCAGGTCCTTTAGGAACTCCTGCAGTGAGTGTGTGACAGGCAGCTGGTGACCAGACGTGCTGTCGGGCTCTTTTCTTGTGAATCCAGGTTATCAACAACTTCAGGACCAGAACATCTGTCTGTCTGTCCATCTATCCCTGTATACACCCATTATCCATCCCCATACATCTGTCCCCATACACACCCATCTATCTATCCAACTATCCCCCATAGACACCCCTCTATCCACCCATCCAGTCCCCGTCTCTCTGTAGCTACCCATCCTCACACACCCATCCTCACACACACCCAGCCCCTCTCTCCAGCTGTGCTGTATTGGGCACACCCCAGAAGGGGGAGGGTACTGGTGGCTTTAAGCCGCCTTTGTGTGCCTCTGATCCTAGGGCTAGTGATTTAGGCTGGGTTTATCAAAGCTGTCGGGGGGGGGGCGGGTTGGACACCCCATTATTAACAATTAATGGGAAGAGAGTGTCCAAATCCCCTAGGCAGCTTTGAAAATCCCAGCCCTACCATGTAGCCTATGCGCCCTTGGACTCTGCACCCAGGGCCCGGCCCTGCAGGGGCAGCTCCAGCAGGAAGGTATCGTCCCCTTTACCAGCTCCTCCTGGTCCCGGATCACCAGCAGCTGGGAGCCCCTCGCTGAGCAGTCGACACGGCTCTCGCTCCACGTTTTACCTCCTCTGGAGACCCAGTAGCACTTGTCCCCGCGCAGCTGCCAGTCCAGGGGGCAGAGTTTGCATCCGGAGCCCCCTGCAGACAGACAGGCATCATTAATGCTCTGAGCGCTCTGGGCCTCATTCCCGGCTACTCCCTTCCTGCAACTGGGGCAGGAACAGGGTAAAATGGGTTTGAGTCCCCTTTGTGCTCCCTGAAAGCTGGGGCTGGGTCAGGCCCTGCCTGGCTCCTCATGTCAGCTACAGCAGCCTCAGGGCTGCTCTGCCTTATCCAGTGCTCCCGTATGGGCCCTGGGAAGCAGAGAACACCCACAGCGCACTGCGCTCTAGCCACACACACCAATCTGCCCCCCATTTTGGGGGTTGGGAACAGGGTGGGTGAGGGCCCTTACCCCAGCTCCACACCAGCTGGAGAGGCCCCCCAGGACAGGGGAGATTCTCAGGGGCCCTGGGACCCACTTTAAGGCCCCTTTACACTGCCAGAATGGCCTAGAAGGGTCTTGGAGTAACTGGGGAGAAGGGGTGGTGTTAAACTGGAGGGGAGGCTGGGACCCAGGGGTGATGGGGAATGGGAGGGGACATGGGGCCCAGAAGCCAGGGAACAGGAGGGTCTGGGACCATAAGACAATCTCGCTAATGAGATGTGACCCCCACACACACACCCTGAAAAAAAATTGACAGCTTTGTATGACATTGTTATTAAAATCTTCATTGGCTGAATATTACTCTGAACAGCCACTAGATGTCGCTGCCCCAGGCACAGTCCCAGTTGAGGCAGGTACATTCATGGCCTGGCACCGAGCGGGGCTGGTGGCTAGATCAGTGCAGCCAGCAGGGGGCGCCGTGTCCCTGCCCTGCAGGATCCCCAGGGGCTGGGATGGCAGCTGGGTTCCCACTGGCCGTGCCCGGGGCGGAGGGCGGCTCAGAGACACACGAGCTGGGGTTACCTGCTGGGCCGGGCGGGGCCGGGTGGCACAGCTGGGATCGGAAACGCTCCAGGCGGGCGCTGCATTCTGCTGTGCTGGGGTCTGTGCTCCCAGCTCCGTCACTCCCAGGGGGTGTAGGTGTATCTCTGCTCCCGGCTTCTTCGCAATCAGGGGCTGCCGGGGTCTGTCCCTTCTCAGACATCAAGTGGGAAACTGCAAAGCAGCGTCGGTGGGAGTGAGGGCGACTGGTCAATGTTGTGGGAGTTGCTGATAAAAGCACCAGCACAGAGCCCTGCGGAGACACAGGGCCTGCCCCAAAGCCTGTTCTGCCCCATCGCCACTGACTCCAATGAATTTCAGAGCAGCCCCATAGGGACACGGTCTAAAAAAAAACTGAAAATCCCTTGGGGCTCTTTGCAAACCCAGCTCATGTTTGCATCTGTATAAGTTTCCCAGTGCCCATCACCAGTGTATCAGAGCACCCCACAGTCTGTACTGGATTTATCTTCCCCACCCCTCACCCCCTGTGTGAGGCAGGGCACAGGACTGTTATCCCCATTGTACAGGTGGGGAAACTGAGGCACAGAGCTCCTCAAGGTAGCGAGGACCAGCCTGGGTTCCGAGCTGGGGACAGGCCACCTGAGCCACCCCTCTGGGGCTGCAGGTTCAATGTTGTGTAGCCCTCCTCGCCCTGTGTCCTCGCCCTGTGAGAGGAGGAGCCGGGATCAGCATGGGCTGGGGTGTGAGATCGCACAGGAAGCTGAGATGCTGGGCTGCAGCTGTGTGGGCGTCAGGGTGGTGGTCACAGCATCCGGTGTCAGGGGCTCTCTGCTGCTATGGAAGTTGGCTCAGTCAAAACAGGGCTCCCAGACAGCCTCCCCCGCCAGTGCAGCCACCCTGATCCCAAGGTGAGGGGCACAGCCTGTCTGTTGAGGAGTTTATCTGGCCCCCGTCACTTGCTGTCTCTGTCCTTCGCCCACATTCCCTGTGAAGAAGGGGAGGCTCATGGGGACAGATTATTAAAGGGGTTTAAGGCACCTAAAGCTGCAGATAGGCCCCGAATGGGGTTTTCAGAAGCACCTAGGTCCAGATCCTCGACAGGATTTAGGTTCCTAACTCCTTTGGGTTTTCGGCACCTAAATACATTTGAGAACCTGGGCCCTAGGTGCCCAATTCCCATTGGTTTCAATAAGCATTAGGTGCCTAAAAACAACCCACTAGGTGCATAGCTGCATTGTTAGGTACCTAAACCCCTGTGGAATTCCAGCCGTAAGGGACCAGCCCAGGATCACACAGGAATCTGTGCAAAACCCAGGAACTGGTCCCAGAGCTCCTGCGTCCCAGATTAGCACCTAACCCCCTGAGGCAGCCTTCCCCTCCGAGAACCTGTGAGCTCCCGCCCAGTCCCACCATCCCGCTGCGAACAGCCAGCTCTGTCTGACATGTCAGCGTGGCCATGGGAACAAGCTATTCAGGGGGAAAATCCCCAGCCATATTTCTCCATTTATCAACCAGCTACATTTTTCTAATATTACATTCTGATGACATTTGCACTGAAATGCCCAATGTTGATGAAAAGCTGGGGGGGGGGGGGGCACTAGGATAATTTCCCCCTGTCCTAGATTTTCTAGCAAGTGGAAATGTTTCAATTTTTGAAATTTCAACAATGGCTCTGAAAATCCCAGTCTATGGTACTGGCCAGTCCAGCGCCCAGCGTGAGTTAATGGGTAGGAAATCGGGATTCAAATCTTAGCTGTGCCACAGATCTGTGTATGATCTTGGCCAAGTAATTTCACCTCTTTTGCTTTGACTGTTGTGACTATTTAGATAGGTTTCAGAGTAGCAGCCGTGTTAGTCTGTATCCGCAAAAAGAACAGGAGTACTTGTGGCACTTTAGAGACTAACACATTTATTAGAGCATAAGCTTTCGTGGGCTACAGCCCACTTCTTCGGATGCATATAGAATGGAACAAAGTTTTTTTTTCTCTTAATTAATTGGCCTCTCAGAGTTGGTAAGAC